AGCTGTCACAATTTTGAATCATTAAATGTCAGAAAAGTTTTAAGAAGAAACATGTTTTAGTTTCCAATCTTTTGGAATTGGGATTAAGCAATTCAAAATCATTTTTTAGTAAGTGCGATTTCCTTCACAAACTGAGTAAAAGAATGACAAATTGAATTATAGAATGACAAAGTGATAGGAATATGGGGACAAAATACCAAGAGCAGGTAGACAAAAGGACCGAGGTAGTTACACAGACAACAGTTTTTAATAGGTAAGTAACCTATGGATACACATGTCAGGGGAGGTTTAATAGATCAACATAGAACAGAATGAGCGGACGACAGACAGACAGTCTGTAGGGACAAACCACTGTAATACATAACCATTACCTCAACACAATCAACAAGGAATATTTCAAACTAATATGTCAATGCAATTCCCAGCAGATCAGTTACAAAACAGTTCCACAATTGATGGCCCGTGGTACCATAACTGTTAGTCTGTCGTCAACACTAACTTAGAAGCGTGGGTAAACCACCTTGCTATATATATACTTCAAACAAATAGTGAGCAAAAACTGAAAAAGTCAAGAAAACAACTTATGAGTACAAAATATATGATAATGTATTCTATATACATATCATTTTATATAAAAAAGGGTCATTTCAAATTTTTCCATTTATAAAAACTACCAGGTATGGCATTGCTAAGTTACAAAAGACTGTTTTTCTTGTCACAAGAGAAATAAGGCTTCAGTTAAGTTTCACAGCCTTGACACATGATGTCATAATCTGAACTGATGTGGTTGATAACCAAACATCTCATTCAACAGGACTGTGGTAAAGTGTTTCTTCTTTTGTATTTATGAAGACTCATTATTTTCTGAAGAAAGACGAATGGAAAATTGCTGCAGAACTAAAGAGCGAAAGAAAAGTATAACCTTTACAAGGTAAAAAGAAAGGCTTTGGTTTGGTTTTTCAAATTTCAAATATCCGTAAAATATACATTTCCCTTGAAAATCAGTTCAAAATTTTGTGAAACAATACATCACCGTCTTACTTGCATGAATGCTTATTTGTTAGCCTAGAAGATTTAATCCAAAATGAGATTTTGACTCAGGCTTTATTGTTTCATGATCCCACAGCTTTCCTGACAGGATTAGGTACATGTGTACCCAAAAGTACCATGTGATTAGATGGTAATTTAGACAACAATAAGACGCCTACAATAGTGCACAAATCAAACACCAATTAATGCAAATATATAAATCAAACCCATAACAAAACTTAACTTTTGTTCTAATTAAACAATTCCAGGGATCCTTTCACTAACACTCTATGAAGAGAACCATGCTTCGACCGAGGTGGCACAGTTGGAATATACTTTATGGCTACAGGAGTCATTCACAAGTTGTGTTTCAGAAGGGTTTTTTGAGAGTTTCACCCGTTTTCATTGCCCTGTTTAACACAGATGCGTCCGTAAACCCCCTACAACTAACAGACCCTGTGTTATTGCTCCTAACACAGGGGTTGTTTTTTGGTGTTCATTTTGTTCTGTAAGGAACTACAAGTCAAATACATGGCCGAGAACAAGGACGGTGGTTAGTGTTTGAGGTAATCACGTTTGATACGATTTTATTGTTTCTGGCATCGTTGTTAAGTGACATGTAAGCGAGTTCTATGAAATAGCATTACGGTTGTCCTCCAGTATCGGGGAGCGCTGCAGGTTTAAACTTGTATCAACCTCAAATAATACGTTGATCAACCTTGTAATGCAATCCATCATTGCAAGTTTTTGAACTTTGAACATTCAAATAATCATATAAACCAAAGATTTGTTAATCCCATTTTAATCTCTGCTGTTATGACCCTATGCAGATAGCGAAAATAAAATGTCAAGAGAAATAAGAATTTTTCCCAAATCCAATCTCGGTTTGATATTTCAGCAGGACATCAACTGTTCTTTGGAGTAATTCAATTTACCTGGAGGCCATTACATCGCATTATCATTATTAACTCAATATATCATGTACCGTTTTTTTTCTCGTCAACGAAACATCAGACGTGTAATATGATTAGCTCCCTCTAGTTGCAGTATTATTATCCGATTGTCTTCCAAACGAACCGACCAAACTAGATGACACGTTATAAAACGGTCCGCAACATTTTATGTAAACCCATGACTTCCAGTAAATGTTAAAACCTGATCTTCAAGTTAATAGCGGAACACCGTAACATCGCTCCACAGGCAATACAGACAGAACAGGTCTAGGTGATAATTTCTCCGTTGTCACATAACTGATAAATGAAACAAGACAAGCTCGCCTCTGGGATGGTTAAAACTTCATTATTTCTTCTGGTTGCTAACTGTATCAGCCACAACATAGCTAAGTTTTCTGAGCTCAAGAGAGAAGTGAAATTTATTTATGATCGATGATCTAATTTTTACCTGAAGCTTCCACAAAAAGTGTTTTCTGAGAATTCTGTTAACAACCAGCAGCTAGCGTCATTATCAATTACCAAATTAACGCTAATAAGTCAATCGGATCAGAATAAAAGAATCTAGTTACATGTAAGTACATGTATGTTAAAACCTACCTTTTATAAAGATTTCTTGATTTCAGACAGGAAACAGATCCACACCAGAACTTTGTAGGAAATGTTCAAAATCCAAAATAAACAACTCTTATTGGTTAAATATTTGACTTACAACGCAAGAGAATTCCTGGAAATGGATACACTTGAAGAACAGTTAATTATGAATAGGTAGACAAACCACAAATAGCGTCCTTCACCACTTGACAGCTTATTTTCCTCTACAGCTTAAAGAGTTCTAAAGGGGAGATAAATAGTCCTTTGGTGATGTATGAGTTGAGAATGAGTAAGGTTTTTCAGTGGTGAACAAAGAGTGAAAAGGCTTGTACGATGTGGAAGGACTCCTGTGAACGGTAGCCAGTAACAGGGGTAGCGGTATTCAGCGACAATGTGGATCCAATTAAGTCTTGTGTCAAGTGATGGAGACTTTCGGAGCAATTCCACACACAAGGCATGATGCTTAATGGCTAATCAACATGTTTGTTACACATGTGTAACTGGGGATGACACACACACACAGCGGCACATATGTGTCGGGTATGCTTGACGAAGAAGCACTCGGCTCTGTGCACATACCAGCCTTCCCACTTTACAGAAACAGACAACATGGGACCCTATCAACCATGCCGTAGCCATGAGAACTGAGGAGCCTATCAGATCAGCCAGCACTGGGGATTCTACCACACAGCTGACATAAACTTCTCCAACTACAGAAAATTAGTGCACTTTAAAACACAATCCCAGCACAAAAATCTTGGATAATAAAAATACTACAAAAAACATGTCAATCTGGAACACTTCCACCTTAACTATAAAACACTTTCTCCCCAAAAACGTCACCTTCTTGCAAGGCAATCCAATTTGTATTACAGCTTTGTGTTTGTTTGATTCTGTGATGAACCCACCACCATCACCAACACCCACACTTTACATATACATATATCTAGGTTACAGATCTGCAAGATAAACTTTCTAAAAACAAAATCTGGGATTTGCATAAAGACAAGAGCATAGACATGTGAAATGTGAAAGTTAACTTCAAATTTGTCGCAACGCAGCATACTTCCATGCATGTTAAACAGAAAATCCTGTGTGGTTTCCAATTTTGTTTTGGCAATCAGTCGAAACAGCTACCATAGGAAATATGCATGTTTACTATTAAAAACAGATATTTTCATCTTTTAGGATAGTCTGTAAATAACTAGGAACAAATGCAAATCTTGTGTTGTAGTTTTGATTTTGCATTGTGGACCGATTTTTTTTTGGGTGTTTTCGCGCATCTCCTCAACATTAATGATAATATGTAACACAATTTCTTACAAGAATTCTCCCACCAGGTTAGCGTTAAAAATTTCAAGAAACTCTATGAATCCCACCAAAGTTCTGTGACTATAGGACTCGGATGTAGATTTATCGCTGCACATTAAACCTTTAATCTACTTATTGTTGTCATCATATGGTAACAATATTTAGTTAAATTGGAAAACATATTTCTTCTTTTTGTTTTCCAATTTCAGGAACAACCTCTCAAAGTGTGCATATCATTCGAAACCTTTTATGTGACAATTTTTTATTTCCAGAACATAATAAGCATTGGTTATCCATCCACCCCTAAAGTCACATTTGAACCTTGCCAAATCATAAACTGGGCAAGTCCAGTTTAAATATATAGGGGTGGATGAGTTAACAAATGATAAGAAAACCGGAGTATTAAAAGTTTACGGAGAATTAGATAACAAGAGGTCCATGGGCTTTAACGGTCACCTGAGTCCTACAGTATTTATTTTTATTATTGAAATATAAGTGGAGATTATGATGTTAATCATCCCTACCAATTTGAGTAAAAAATCATTAAGTATAATGTTAAGTTAGGTTTTTCAGACCATGAGTTGATCATTCTTAGACCAAGTTTCGGTGGCCATATTGGATTTTTGATCAGCCCGAAAAAAAAGAGAACACTTTGCCAGGACCATGAGTCGATCATTCCTACCAAGTTTCAGTTAAATGGTCCCAGTAAAACTTGACTTGAAGTTTGAAATAGTTTTTCTAACTGGCGGCCGTGACGACCATATTGGATTTCCAATTGACCAGAAAAATAACAACACTTTGTCAGGATCATGAGTCGATCATTCCTACCAAGTTTCAATTGAATGGGCACAGCAGAACTTGACTTTAAGTTTAATGAAATTGTTTTTCAAAATGGCGGCCATATTGGATTTCTGATCGAACCGAAAAATAACAACACTTAGTCATGGAGATGTCAGGAACATTCCCATGAAGTATCAATGAAATACCGTAGACAGTATTTCAGTTTAAGTTGAAAATGTAAAATGTTAACGGACGACGACGGACGAAACCAGCTAAACCTCAGGTGACCTAAAAAGAGCATGAAGAGTTTAAATTCAACATCGACCTCTAATTTACCTTTGTAATGCAGGTAGATGTTGAAGTTAAACTCTTCACGCTACTAAGAGTCTTCGTTGGTGTGCTGGCCCAGGTTTTCTTGACCTTTGCTGGAACATATGAATATGATTAGCAGACCTTTGGTATGGGTGATCAGGTACTGGGTCTGTCAAAACAAGAAGTTGAGCAGGAAATTGTGTGTTTATTATAATAGGGTTGGTTTAGTGTTGTCCATGCTGGCTGGAAACTCCCAAGCAGCAGGTCATGGACCTTTTCTATAGTAAGACATGACCTGGGGTTAACTTTATACATTTGTACAATGTTCTTTCAAAGCTTCTTGTCTCTCTGTTGTGCATTCTGAAAATAACCCTCGGAATCCAATTTGGGAAAATTACGTTTATTAAAATATGATCACATTTAATGAATTAATTTCCAAAAACCATCAACTGGCATTTTGGCCCTCTACGGAAGTACAAAAAGACAAAACAACTTAGCAATCTAAAGTTAAACACTCAAGCCTGTATGGACAGAAACATGTACTGCATTGGTAAATAATGCTCATCACAACATATCTTGGCTACGAGAACAACCTCACATACAGTTGAAGTAATAATTATACACTTAGATCAGCCATTTAGAATAAACTTTTAATATATACTTCTATTAAACAACAAACAGTTGTTTAAAATTGTAAATTCTGCATAATTTACATAATTAGCAAGTTTCTATTCATAGAGGACAAAAAAATAAAATAAAAATATCAAGGTATTTCAAAAAGTCCCTGTACATGTGTTTCATTCTAATTCCAATATTAAACATCTAAGATGTCCTGGGACCTTTAGCCTGCAAAAGGGACCAAATTAATACCTTATTTGGCTCTAAACCTTGAGGCATCATATGGCATAGGCCCAGAATCTGTAAAAGTCGTGGTGGTCTGTCTCAATATGGAGCATTGACCGGTAAGATACAGTGGTATTAAGTAGATTTCCTTCCATCATGCCTGATTTCACACGTTATATCACAATGATGATAATAGCTTTGTAAGCTTATAGAAATTTATCAAACAAAACATTTTTTCACATAAGCCTAATAGGGTAATGCAACATAGATGCAATGGATTATTTAGGCAAAACAAAACATGACAAATGTTCTTTTTAACAGAAATGAAGAGGTTTTTTCAGAGTCAGTGCTAGACTGATAGGTTTTTAGAAAACCGGAAAAATATAAGCGTAGGGTTACCACAACATATTCCCTTTAAGTCAGTCGTCAAACATTCTATTTTTCACGTTAATTCAAAGAAAACAAGTGAAACCGTGGTAACCGCCTAACATAACATTGCATAATCCCATAAAATTCACTCTAGTATTTACCTTACAGATTACCGAATTTCACAGAATTACATCGGTAATTGGTCTAGCGGGTAATGTATTTGAAGCAATGTTTGATTTTACAGCAGGAAGAAGGAAGTGAAATGCATTTCTAAACATTGAATTTGGTGTTTCTTCGTTTAGCATCCAATCTTCATATTTTTTTCTTAATATTTTGATTCTATCAATTTGACAAGCTTTGCAAACTTTTTACAACCTCTTCCAAGAGGTTTATCAAAGCAGTTTAAACAGTTGAAATAATGTGACCCCTTTCATCCCTAAATAACTTTAGTAGACTCAACCATGCATTGATCTGGACAAGTCCATTATGGTCTACAGTGGTGAAAGGGTTAAACTGTTACATGATGATGCCAGAAGTATCAATATTAATTCATGAATATTAATCAATTATTTTAAGATGGCATTTCTCTTAAAATTCTTGTTCACCTAGTGATAGAATTCTTTGACCCCACTACAGCTTTACGCCTAGCTGTACAATTGAATAGATGCATCTGCTGGAAGTAAACCTGTGATGCCTAATTTTGTCAATCTATGACTTCGAAACTGTGTCAAATATCCTTTGGCCAAGGTTAAACTTAGAAACAATACTCTCATTTTATTGAAAACAAAAATCCTCTTTTCTTACACAAGACAATTTAAAAGATATAGTAATTTAAGTACTGAAATGTGTAAAACAAATAAGATAGAGGCTAGGATGGGCAAGGTTATGTCTTCACCTCTTACTGTGTGACAATTAACACATTGGTTCGGGAATCTTCTCCCCGCTGGTTGGAGTACCAGAGTCGGTAGGAGAGAGTGTTTCAGCGGCTGAATACAGTACCTGTGCCCTTTGTGATGAAGCATTGTACTAGCCCATATAGCACTCAGCTAAAATCCCAAGGTGCACCCAGATACAGCACACAGTATGCAACAAAACATTACCTACATAAACTTGTCATCAGCAGGGCTCCCCTATCTGACAAGGTCGATTCCAAGCCCTCAGATCTTAACTAAGATTTTCAATGAAAATATAATTCAAAACTATTTTGTTGCGTTATACCAGCAGATACTAATCTTATTACTGCTGTTCTAGATTTGCAACAAGTTGAACATCAGGGAATACTTGCCACCTAAACACAATTTTTGCGATTAAATTATCAATAAAATGTTGTTTTTTTCTCTTGCAGAAAGTTATCTAGAAAATTTAGATTTTTTATTTTTTTTTCAAATTTTACAGTGATAACCTGATGTAATTCGCCCAACATCAAATACGTAAATCACTAGTATGGGACTGCTACACAGATTCTTGTCAAATCTAGTCGTAACGGCACCGCATGCTCTCATCCTGTTTTCTTAACCATGTGCTGTGCAGCGAGGAATTTCCTCCAAGTTTTCTGCACTCTCTGCGATGGCAGACTTCCCATGGTTTCTGCAGTCCAGAGTCGTGTGTATTGAACTTTTGTATACAAAATGTAGCAAGTCAGCTACTAATAGGAACGCTATCCATCTCATAAAAGTACACATCAACCAAAATCTGTATTACCCTTAATTTACAAGGCTGAGCAACAGAAGTGACATGAGATATGGTCATTTGTATAAACTCTAAAAATCGAATTCAAACCTTTTTTCTCCCGATAGGTGGGAAATCATTAAATGCAACAATATTATCTGCATACAGCGAGTTCCGAAAAACGAGTTCAATATGCATTTTCATTGTCTGTTCCTTACCAAATTCTTGATAAACAACTTGATCACAATATAGCTCTCTGAATATATACTATTTATATGATGAATAGAATGTAAATTTTTATACATACATCTGTATATAATTTATAGAAACTGATAGAGAATAATGGAAACAAAGCTTTTTTGAATTAAACCACTACATGGAACTACCTTTACACTCAAGGGGAACAACTCTCGATGAAAATACTTAAGGTGAGTATTTCTTGAAAGAAAAAATCTTTAAAAAATTTTGAGACAAGAAAATGTTATACAGTAAGGTAGTTCTGGATGGTAAACCGATGTAATTGGTTCATGAAGAAGTCCTACTGGGTTATCTATCATGGAACAAGGTCAACGACTGGCGGCATCATCAGATCACCACTGAGCATCGACCAATCATGCACGGCTTTAGATGGGTTGGACGGCTCTTCGGTATTAGCCGCTAACCACAATTTACTGTTCGGGCCACCTGATACATTGGACATGGGTATAATGAAAACAGATGAACTATGCTGGATTAGGAAAAGGAAAATTTGCCATGTCCGCAATCCATCTTCTGTAGACTGCCTTGGTGACAATTGGGAAGCCTACTTTTAGATTCAGTAACTGCGACGTCCCCGTCCTTAGACTGGTGTGTTGAAAAGCCAGTGTTGTCAGTGTGACAGTCGTTATAAATCCAAGCAGAAAGAGACCTTGCGATCGAGCAAGCTGCAGGTTTTACGTAAATCTAACTCTTGTCTACTGGAGGTTGCGAGGTGGTCTCCGGAGACAACGGTGCTGACCTGCTGTTTCACAAGGACAAGTAGTGCTCAATATTTTATTTCCGTTTCAGACCAAATTTTGGCACATAAAGGATTTTTTCTCTTTTTTTTGTTTTGTTATATCAAATGTCATTTCGACTTTCTTCTTTTCTTGCCATAAAACCACATTAATGTTTCTTAAAGTACGTATCTCCATCCTGAGCAACGGACACACAAACACAATACATAACTTGATACATAGTTTTATTGTTTCTAACCCCAATTTCAGACAGGAGTAAACATTTACCTTCGTACGACGACTTGATAATGCGATGTTCATGCCATTTTCTGACTGTTTAATAATTTTGTATAAAACATGAGGAAGTTGTATCCTCTTTTTTCACGGAATGTTGTTTAATTGCAACAACTTTACCAATGTTAACAGTATTCCGTCGGACCTGGAGTCACATCCCCGATACATGGCTTTACGCAATGTTAACAGTATTCCGTCGGACCTGGAGTCCCATTCCCGATACATGGCTTTACCCAATGTTAACAGAATTCCGTCGGACCTGGAGTCACATCCCCGATACATGGCTTCACCCAATGTTAAAAGTATTCCGTCGGACCTGGAGTCACATTCCCGATACATGGCTTTACCCAATGTTAACAGGATTCCGTTGGACAAGAGGCACATCCCTGATACATGGCTTTACCCGATGTTAACAGTATTCCGTTGGACAAGAGTCACATTCCCGATACATGGCTTTACCCAATGTTAACAGAATTCCGTCGGACCTGGAGTCACATCCCCGATACATGGCTTCACCCAATGTTAAAAGTATTCCGTCGGACCTGGAGTCACATTCCCGATACATGGCTTTACCCAATGTTAACAGAATTCCGTTGGACAAGAGTCACATCCCCGATACATGGCTTTTCCCAATGTTAACAGTATTCCGTCGGACCTGGAGTCACATCCCTGATACATGGCTTTACCCAATGTTAACAGTATTCCGTCAGACCTGGGGTCACATCCCCGATACATGGCTTTACCCAATGTTAAAAGTATTCCGTCGGACCTGGAGTCACATTCCCGATACATGGCTTTACCCAATGTTAACAGAATTCCGTCGGACCTGGAGTCACATCCCCGATACATGGCTTTACCCGATGTTAACAGTATTCCGTTGGACAAGAGTCACATTCCCGATACATGGCTTTTCCCAATGTTAACAGTATTCCGTCGGACCTGGAGTCACATTCCCGATACATGGC